TAAAGCTAAAACAATAAAACTCCTAGAAGAAACCATAGAGTTAAATCTTCATGACCTTGGATTTGGCAAAGGACTGCTAGATATGACACCAAGAGCAGCAGCAACAAAAGAAAAAACAGATATGTTAGACTTCATCAAAGTTAAAAACATTTGTGCTTTCAAGAACATCATCAAGAAAGTGAAGAGACAACCCACAGAATGGGAGAAAATATTTGCAAATCAACATTTTGATAAGGAATATGTATCTAGAATACATAAAGAACTCTTACAACTCAATAAAAAGAGAAATAACCCAAATAAAAACCAGGTCAGGATCTGAATACACATTTCTCCAAGAAGATATACAGTTGGCTAATAAGCACACAAAAAGATGTTCAACATCATTAGTCATGAGGGAAATGCAAATCAAAAGCAAAATGAGATACCAGTTTACACCCAGTAGGATGGCTTAAATAAAAAAGTCAGATGGTAAGAAGTGTTGGTGAGGTTCTAGAGAAACTGGAATCCTCATACACTGCTAGTGGGAATTTAAAAATGGTGCAGCCACTTTGGCAAACAGTCTGACAGTTCCTCAAACAATTAAACATATAGTTATCACATGACCCCGAAATTCCACTCCTAGGTATATACCCAAGAGAAATTAAAACATATGTCCATATAAAACCTTGTACATAAATGTTTATAGAAACATTATGCATAATACCCAAAAGGTAGAAACAACACATATGTCCATCAACAAACAAATGGATAAACAAAATGTGGTACAGACATACAATGGAATATTATTCAGCTTTTAAGTGAATACAGTATTGATATATGTTATAACTTAGATGAACCTGAAAACACTCTGAGAGAAAAGAAGCCAGTCACAAAAGTCTACATATTGTATGATTCAATTTCCCAGAATAGGGAAATCTATAGAGACAAAGTAGATCAGTGGTTGACTTATGGCTGAGAGCGGGATGATGAGGGGGTAAAGGGGTGATAGCTAAAGGGTATATAGGGTTTCTTTTTGAGGTGATGAAATGTTCTAAAATTAACTGTTGATGGTTACACATATCTGTGAATAGCATAAAAACAAGTGACTGTACACTTTGGGTGAATTGTATGATACGTGCATTATATATCAATAAAGCTATTTGGAAAAACATTCTATGGGAATCTGGAAGGTTTGTTTTTTAAAATTTTTTTATTTACATATATCTCTTAGATTAACCTCATTATTTGCATTATTCCCAGATGTTTTAACTTTGCTTTTTTCTAAATTTCATTCCTATGATCTATCACGAGCTAAGTATGTGTCTTCAAGCTCCCTACTACTATTCCATATTGTTCATTTCTCTTTGAAGGTCCTCTAGGGTTTTCTGTTAGTTTATGGCCTGTTTTGCACTTTTTACTCTCAAAAGTAAATTCCCCTCTCCACTCTTAAGCATCTTTTGCCTAACAATATATCATGAGTTGTTTTCACATCTTTTCATTTCTAGATCTTCATTCTTTTTTAAGGCAATAAAAACTTCCTTATTGATGGTGCTCCCAGTTTTCATCTCATTTATTTTTTATTCTATTTCATGTTTAAAGATTTATGTGTTATAGCCTCATTGTGGACTGAAAATTAGTATAAAAATACTCCTCTTTAATTCCTGCCAACACTTTTGGTGTAGAATTTAATCTCATCTATATTAATATCATGCCTCTGAATTTCTTTTTGTCTCTAGTTTTCCTTTTACTTTCAACCTTTCTGAGTTGTTTTATTTTCAGTGTCTCCTATATAGCATGTAACTGAGTTTGTTTTATAACCTAACCTGAGAAGCTTTTTTTAAATAGGTGAAATTATTGCATATATTTTTGTTTATATAGTCGTATATGCTCTCCACTCTCTCATTTTATGGTATTTTTTCTGTTCTTACAAACTTACTTTGTTTTCCTTTTTCCTCCCTCTACCCATCTGCTACTCCTACCATTTCTCGAAATATTTTGGATGTTTTATGGTTTTATTTTAACTCTTTTAGAGGTAACTTTTATAATTTTAAATACCATACTTACACATGTATTTTTTGATTTATCAACTTTAAAGATGAAATCAGCTCACTTTTACTTCCTTTAACCTCCCTTTCTTCTGCTTGTCCCTTTGCTGTTTTTCTTTCTGTTTTTTCTGTGTGGATGTTTATACAATTTGTTCTTTTTCTTTGAAATTTAGTACTATCACCAACATACGTCTGGGTGTTGATTTTTACATATAATTTTTTCCTAGGACTTGGAATATCCTTTTAAATTGCAGGTTCAGTTTTCCTTATACATTTTATTATTTTTTTATCTTCTTTAGAGACACCAATAGATAGCATTGTGTTGGATTTTCATTGTCAGTCCTCAAATTATTATTTTTTCCAATTGCTATAATCTCCTTTTTCTCTTAATTGGTACAATTTTTTCCCTTCAATTTTTTTTCTGATCTCCTAAATCTCTCTTTACATCTCATTATTATCTCAACTTTTATTTAATTATTTCATGTCTTCTATAATTATTCAGAGTGCAAAATATTTAGAGAAAATTTTCTTCTGTCTTCTAGAAAGTGTTTTTACAGATAATAATTCCATCTTTCTTTTCCAAGGTATGTCACCTACACTACCCATTGCAGACTTGCAATATTCTGCTTTTTCATCTTATACATTCTTTTTTTTATTGTGGTAAAAAGTACATTGGTGGTCCAGCGGTTAAGATTTGGTGCTCTCATCACTATGGCCTAGGTTTATTTTCTGGTCAGGGAACCACATCACCCGTTTATCAGGTGTCATACTATGGCAGTTACATGTTGCTGTGATGCTGAAAGCTAGGGCACAGGTATTTCAAATACCAGCAGGGTCACCCAGCTGGTGGACAGGTTTCTGTGGAGCTTCCAGGCTGGGAAGAAGGACCTGGCCACCCGCTTTTCAAAAAATTGGCCATGAAAACCCTATGAATAGCAACAGAGCACTGCCAAAAGGCTGGGCAGGGTTCAGCTGTGCTGTACACAGGGTTGCTAGTAGTCAGAACTGACTCGTCAGCACTAACAACAAAAAAACAACATTAAATTATCATCTTAATCATTTTTAAGTACACAGTTCAGTAGTGTTAATATACTCACATTGTTGTATAGCAGATGTCTAGAATGTCTTCATCTTGTAACACCGAAACTCTATATTCACTAAACACTAATTATCCCTCCCTTCTCTCTCCAGCCCTTGGCAACTACTTTTCTAATTTATGTTTCTATGATTTTGACCACTTCAGATGCTTCATAAGTGGAATATAGAGTATTTGTCCTTTTTTGACTAGCTTACTTCACTTAGCACAATGTCCTCGAGGTTCGTCTATGTTGTAGAACATGACAAGATTTCCTTCTTTTTTAAGGCTGCCTAATATTCTATTGTATGTGTATACCACACTTTCTTTATCCATTCATCTGCTGATGAATATTTGGGTTGTTTCCATATCTTGATTATTGTGAATAATGCTGCAATGAACATGGGTGTGCAGATATCTCTGAGATCCTGCTTTGAATTCTTGTGGATATACAGCCAGAAGTGGGATTGCTGGATCATATGGTAATTCTATTTTTAACTTTTTGAGGAACTCCCATACTATTTTCCCTAATGGCTGCACCATTTTATATTCCTGCCAACAGTGCACAAGGGTTCCAATCTCTCTGCATCCTTGCCAACAATTATTTTCTGTTCTTTTGATACTGGCCATCCTAATGGGTGTGAAGTGGTATCTCATTGTGGTTTGATTTGCATTTCTCTGATGATCAGTGATATTGAGCATCTTTTCATAAGCTTGTTGGCCATTTATATATTTTCTTTGGAGAACTGTCTATTCAAGTCCTTTGCCCATTTTTAAACTGGGTTTCTTTGTTGTTGTTGAGTTATAGAAGTTCTATATATAACCTGGATATCAACTACTTATCACGATTTACAAATATTTTCTCCCATTCCATAGGTTGCCTTTCCACTCTGTTGACTGTATCCTTTGATGCAGAGTTTTTAATTCCGATGTAGTATAATTTTATTACTTTTGCTTTTGCTGCCTATGCTTTTTGTGTCATATCCAGGAAATCACTGCCAAATCCAGTATCATAAAGCCTTTCTCCTGTTTTCTTCTAAGAGTTTTATAATTTTAGCTCTTAGGTTTGGATCTTTGATCTGTTTTGAGTTAATTTTTATACACAGTAAAAGGTAAGAGTCCAATTTCATTCTTTTGAACGTGGATATACAGTTTTCCAACACCAGGTGTTGAAGAGACTGTTCTTTCCCCACTGTGTAGTCTTGGCATCCTTGTGGAAAATCATTTATCTTATCTATCTTATCTTGATGTAAGCAGCTCCACTGGGACTATTTTCAAAGTACAATATGGATAGATCAGCTCCTTGACTCCTTTCTTTCCTTACCTGGGTACTGTTCTATCTTCCTCTGAGAGGCAGAGTTTGAGACCTTGGTAGTAATGGCTTATGTCTTATATGCTTTTCTTTTACGTTAGAAAAAGGGGGCCGTGGGTAAATATAAATAGATTTGATCTTGGCTCTTTTTTACTGTAATTTTTTTGAAGTTTGTCTTAAGATTCTGTCTTTGTCACAGACAAATGCCTTTAGGCATTTTAAGTTTTAGATTTTTTTTTAAAAAACTTTAAGTTTTAGATTTTTCCTGTTTCAGTACTGACATATGATACTTCACTTCTAATATTATCACCTTAGCTATTTATTTGGAATACTGTTTCTAAGTTGCCAATGTCTTTTCCCAGAAATAATGACTATTTTACAAATCAATATGTATACCCACATAGACAAAGTAGCACTGATTTGCATAAGAAGGTAAAAAATAAATAAAAGAAAAAATGGATCTCTTGTTAAATTGTGAGGCTATATTCTCATCAGAATTAAACGGAAACTCAGACATAGGCATTCTCTCTCCCTCTCTCTCCCTCTCACACACACACATACATACCCCTCCCCACCTCAATCCCATTACCTGCAATATCTATCTGCAAAGATTTTTTATCTTCAGCCCAGGCTTCCTTAGGAAGTTCGCTCTTACTATGGATCTCCTCTTTCTGTTCAGTGGCTTGAGCGTCTGGCAGGCTTTCAATCTTTGTGTCTTGTAGTTGAGCTGAGCGCTCTGCAGCAGTAGCATCACTGGAACCTTAGAGAGGGACATTAACACACTATACAGACAGGAAGTTGACAAAAAATATTTTAAAATACCTCTCAAGCATATACTATGTGAAAGGCATTATTACTGGAGTTGAAACTGCCGATTTAAGCTGGAGTTAAAAAAAATATGTACAAAATAGATGTCATACAAAGTACAAGAATTACACTATAAGAGAAAGACAGATAAAGAAGTATAAATACTCAAGGAGGGAAACTACTTCCAGCTAGGAGGATCATGGAAGAACTCTGGAGTAAAGTAACAAATGATTTGGGTGTTAGAAGACAGCAAGCTAGGATACACACTGAGATGGAAGGAGAAAGGCATTTTAGGTAAAGGCGACTACATAAGAAAAGAATGCAGTCAGGAAAGCAACTGAACATCTAAGACATAGAGCAAGTATATGGTTTTGATTATATAATTTATAAGGAAAAGAGGTAAAAACAAGCTTTGAAAAGTTGTTTGGGAGCCAATACTGTTTTGAAAGACCATGCTAAGAGAATTTAGATTTTATTCTTAAGGGCAATGAAAACTTTTTGATCAGGAGATTAACATGATCAAAATTGTTTCTGGAACGTTCAGTAAGCAAGAACAAAAAGGGAAGTAAAATTTTGAAGTGTTGCCCAGAATACAATATAATTTTTGAAAAAAAGCAATACATGAAAAAAGAGAAATGGCTAATTATGCTCCAGAGACTACTAGCTATCTTCTGAAATCCATTTTCCTTTTCCTCTAAAATATAACCCTAACTTAGATGGGCATGTAGTTACCAGAATAAAGATTATATTTCCCAGCCTTTCTGGCAACATAGCTTGGTGTGACCATGTGACTAAGTATGGTCAATAGGATGGAAGGGGAATGTACATGTAACTTTTGAGAAGTATTTAAAGGAAGGAATATCATTTTTCTTTCCCTTTCTTTCTCCTGGCTGGAATACAGGCCTGATGGCTTCAGCATGAGAATGGAGGCTAAAAATGTTGGAGCAACAGGAAGAAAAGAGCTTTGTTTCCTGATACTCTGGAGTACCATGTCAACCCTAGATGTCTACCTCTGGATTTTTACAAGAGAAATAATTTCCTGTCTATTTTATTTTATTGAGGTCATAATAGTCTATAACATCGTGCAATTTTAGTTGTACATTATTATTTGTCAGTTACCATACAAATGTACCCCTTTACCCTATGCCCACCCCCAACCCCTTTCCCCTCTGGTAACCACTAATCTGTTCTCTTTACCCATGTGTTTGTTTATCTTCCTTTGTCTGGCTTATTTCACTTAACATGATGCCCTCAAGTTCCATCCATGTTGCTGCGAATGGGACGATTTTGTCTTTTTTTATGGCTGAGCAGTATTCCATTGTATATATATATATATACCACATCTTCTTTCTCCATTCATCAGTCAATGGGCACTTGGGTTGCTTCCACATCTTGGCTATTGTGAAGAACGCCGCAATGAACATAGGGGCACATAAGTCTCTGAATTGTTGATTTCAAGTTCTTTGAATAAATACCCAGTAGTGGGATAATGGAGTCATATGGTATTTCTATTTTTAATATTTGGAGAAATCTATATACTGTTTTCCCTAGTGGCTGCACCAATGTGCATTCCCACCAGGAGTATACGAGGTTTCCCTTTGCTCCACATCCTCTCCAACATTTGTTATTTTTTATCTTGGTGATTATAGCCATTCTAATGGGTGTAAGGTGATATCTCAGTGCAGCTCTGATTGGCATTTCCCTGATGACTAGTGATGTTGAACTTCTTTTCTTGTGTTTATTGGCCATCTGTCTATCTTCTTTGGGAAAATGTCTGTTCATATCCTCTGCCCATTTTTTGATCAGGTTATTTATCTCTTTGTTGTTGAGTTGTGTGAGTTCTTTAGATATTTCGGAGATTAACCCCTGGTTGGATATATGATTTGCAAATATTTTCTCCCAGTTGGTAGGTTGTCTTTTTGTTTTCTTCCTGGTTTCCTTTGCCTTGCGGAAGCTCTTTAGTCTGATGAAATCCCATTTGTTTATTTTTTCTTTTGTTTCCTTTGCCCAAGTAGACACAGTATTCAAAAAGAAGCTTCTAAGGCTGATGTCAAAGAGTGTACTGTCTATATTTTCTTCTAGGACTTTTACGGTTTTCTGGCCAAAACTTCCAGTACCATGTTGAATAAAAGTGGAGAGAATGGGCACTCTCGTCTTATTCTTGTTCTCAGAGGGATGGCTTTCAGATATTCCCTGTTGAGTATGATGTTAGCTGTGGGTTTGTCACATATGACCTTTATTATGTTGAGGTACTTTCCTTCTATATCAATTTTATTGAGAGATTTTATCCTAAACGGATGTTGGATCTTATCAAATGCTTTCTTTGCGTCTACTGAGATAATCATGTGGTTTTTCTTCCTCATTGTGTTAATGTGGTGTATCACATTGATTGACTTGCAGATGTTGAACCATCCCTGCATCTGTGGTATATATCCCACTTGATCATGGTTTATGATCCTTTTAATGTATTACTGTATCTGGTTTGCCAATATTTTGTTCAGGATTTTTCTATCTATATCATCAGCAATACTGGCCTGTAATTTTCCTTCTTTATGTTGTCCTTGTCTGGCTTTCAGATCAGGGCGATGTTGACCCAATAAAATGTGTTAGGAAGTGTTCCATCTTCTTCAACGTTTTGGAATAGCTTGAGAAGGATAGGTACTAAATCTTCTTTGAATGTTTGGCAGAATTCTCCAGAGAAGCCATCTGGTCCTGGACTTTTGTTCTTTGGGAGGTTTTTGATTACTGTTTCAATCTCTTTATTTGTGACTGGTATATTCAGATTCTCTATTTCTTATTGATTCAGTTTTGGGAGGTTGTATGAGTCTAAGAATGTATTCATTTCTTCTAGATTGTTCAATTTGTTGGCATAGACTTTTTCATAGTATTCTCTTATAATCTTTTGTACTTCTCTGGTATCTGTTGTAATTTCTCCTTTTTCATCTCTAATTTTATTGGTTTGAGCCTTCTCTCTTTTTTTCTTAGTGAGTCTGGCTAAGAGTTCATCAATTTTGTTTATCCTCTCAAAGAACCAGCTATTAGTTTCCTTGATCCTTTTAATTGTTTTTTTTTTGTTTCTATCTCATTTATTTCTGCTGTAATTTTTATTATTTCCCTCCTTTTGCTGACTTCGGGCTTTGTTTGTTTCTCTTTTTCCAATTCTGTTAGGTGTAGTTTAAGATTGCTTATTTGAGATTTTTCTTGTTTGTTAAGGTGGGCCTGTATTGCTATGAATTTCCCTCTTGGGTTGCTTTTGCTGCATCCCATATGAGTTGGTATGGTGTATTTTCATTTTCATTTGTCTCCAGGTATTTTTTTACTTCTCCTTTAATTTCTTCAGTGATCCATCGGTTGTTCAGTAGCATGCCATTGAGTCTCCACATATTTATTACTTTCCCAGCTTTTTTCATGCATATGATTTCTAGTTTCACAGCATTATGGTCAGGAAATATGCTTGAGATAATTTCAATCTTCTTAAATTTACCGAGGCTTGCCTTGTTTCCAAATACATGGTCTATGTTTGAGAATGTTCCATGTGCGCTTGGGAAGAATGTGTATTCTGCTGGTTTTGGATGCAGCGTTCTACATATACCTACTGAGTCCATCTCGTCCAGTTTTTTGTTTAATTTCACTATTTCCTTGTTGACTTTCTGTCTATCTATCTGGATATCTATCCATTGATGTAAGCAGGGTATTAAGGTCCACTACTATTATTGTGCTGTTGTTAATATCTCCTTTTAGGTTTGTTAATAGTTGCTTTATGTACTTTGGTGCTCCTGTGTTGCATGCATATATATTTATAAGTGTTACGTCTTCTTGGTTGAGTGTCCCTTTTATCATTATATACTGCCCCTCTTTGTCTCTCACTGCCTTTCTTATCCTGAAGTCTACTTTGTCTGATATAAGTATGGCAACACCTGCTTTCTTTTGTTTGCCATTGGCTTGGAGTATCATTTTCCATACCTTTACCCTGAGCCTGTGTTTGTCTTTAGAGCTGAGATGTGTTTCCTGGAGGCAGCATATTTTAAGGTCTTGTTTTTTAACCCATCCAGCCACTCTGAGTCTTTTGATTGGAGAATTCAATCCATTTATAATAGGAGTGATTATTGATATATGAGGGCTTAATGCTGTCATTTTATCACTTGTTTTCCAGTTGTTCTGAATTTTCCTTGTTTCTCGTCCTGTGTATTTCAGACTGCCAATTCAGTTTGGTAGTTCTCTATGATGGTTTTCTCTTTATTTATCATTTGTGTCTCTGTTCTGATATTTGTTTAGAGGTTACTGTCAGGTTTGTATAAAAAATCTTGTAGATGAGACAGTTCATTTTCTGATAGTCTCTTATTTCCTTAGTCTAAGCTGGTTCCATCCCTCTCCTCTTCCCCTTCTAAGTTACTATTGTCACAACTTCTTCCATTTTGTGTTTTGAGTCTGTGGTTGAAATGATGAAATTATAGTTATTTTTGATGTTTTCCTTCCCTTTATCTTTAATGTTATAATAGTTTGCTAACCTGTTCTGAGAGCTGCAATTTTCTGATTTTGTCTATTTCTATCCTTTCTCAAAGCTTTGTAAACTTTTTATTTTCAGGTATGAGGGCCTTCTTGTTCATTTCTTGTAGGGGTTGGTATCTTGTAGGCGATGAACTCCCTCAGCTTTTGTTTATCTGGGAAAGTTTTTATTTCTTCATGATACTTAAGGATATTTTTGCTGGATGGAGTATTCTTGGCTGAAAGTTTTTCTCTTTCCAAATTTTAAATATACCATTCCACTCTCTCCTAACCTGTAAGGTTTCTGCTGAGAAATCTGCTGAAAGCCTGATAGGGGTTCCTTTTTAGGTTATTTTCTTCTGCCTTGCTGCCTTTAATATTACTTGTCATAGACTTTTGCCAGTTTTACTACTAGATGCCTTAGAGAAGACCTTTTTACATTGATGTAATTAGAAGTTCTATTAGCTTTCTTTTACTTGTAATTCCAGCTCCTTCCCTAGGTTTGGGAAGTTCTCAGCTATTATTTCTTTGGACAAGCTCTCTGCTCCTTTTTCCCTCTCTTCTCCCTCTTGAATACCTCTAATCCTTATGTTGCATTTCCTAATTGAGTAGGAGGTTTCTCAGAGAAATTCTTAATTTCTTTTTAGTCTTGGTTCTCTCTCCTCCTCCATCTGAAACATTTCTATATTTCTCTTCTCCAAATTTCTAATTCTGTCCTCCATAATATCAGCTCTGTTATTCAAGCACTCCAGATTTTTCTTTGTCTCCTTCATTGTTTTTCATCTCCAACATTTCTGATTGGTTTTTCTTCATAGTTTCAATCTCTTTTGTGAAGAATTCTCTCTGTTCGTTAATTTTATTCCGGATTTAATTGAATTGTCTTTCTGAATTTTCTTGTAACTCACCGAGTTTTTCTCAGAGCTATTTTGACTTCTCTGTCACTTAGATTGTAAACTTCTGTGCCTTCAGGACTGACTTCTGGGTGCTTATCATCTTCCTCTTGGTCTGCAGTATTAATATACCGCCTCATGTTATTTGATGGTGTGGATTTGTGCCTTCACATAGTGGTAGTATCTGTTCGCAGATTCCACTGGGTGGGAGCAGGTGTGTGCACATCGCAAGAGCTTTGTATCCTGAGCCTGCTGTGATCTCTGCCCTCTGTGCCTGTCCTTTGGAATCAGTGCTGACAGGGCCCATCTGCCATTGCCTGCTTTAAGCTGCTGCTTTAGTAATGTATGCACGGGTGCTCTGGCAGGGGTCCCTTGCTCTGGTTGACAATCCGAGCTGGTGCGTCGGGTGTGGATGGGGCGTTTTCTTTTGTGTGTGTGATCCTGGGGTTGTTCTTGCTCTGCTCTCGCTGTCTGCTCTCCTCTGGTGCTGGGTTGTTGAAGACACACCTGCAATAGCTTAGCATCCTCTGTGTGGAGGTTTCCCATTGCTGGGAGGCCATTCAGAGAGCAAAGGTGTTCCCACAGAGAGCCGCCCCCCTCCATCCCCTCTCAGAGCTGCATGCAGTGCCATGCCCTAAGTCAGTACCAGGTACGGATAGGAGATCGTCTGACCTCCTTCAGCTTCCTTGAGGGGAGTCCAGAACCTCCACCTTCAGACGTATGGCTGCATGGGTCTCTCAGATGTCTATTGTGTTGTGTGAATGTCCTCTGTTGGTTTATGCATGTTCTTTCTATTGTATCTTAGAGGGGAGAGTCTAAGGGAAGAGCTCATTCCGCCATGATGCAAATGTCACTCTCCTTTCCTGTCCTCTTTAAGCCAACGGTATTTTGTTTTTCTCTCTCAGAGCCAAAACTAACCCTGACTTAAACACACTATTACAGGCATTTTTAATCAGCACACTCCCATTGAAGTAAATTAGCTGTACAGGTAGTTAGGAAGTAAACAAGCTGAATTCCTAAAGAACAAAGTCTTATTTACAACAATGGTATTAGAGAGTCAGCAACTCATGGCACTGAATTTTTTTTTTATCAGCAGAGTTTTAAAAAGTGCATTATGTAAATTTCTGGCAATGAGATTAATTTCTGCACAATATTCACAAAGTTCACCAGAAATGTCCCAAAGAGCTTTAAAAATGTTAATTTTACCTGCCAACGTATATCAAAAATTACAGCTAACATCCTGTTTCACATATGAGTGAGAAAGAGGAGGATCGAATAGAGCAAAAAGAGAATAGAGAATACTTTTCTGTTGTATTCATATTAGAAGGCCAGAAGACAATAATATACAGATAATCCAGTTCAGCTACCTGCAGTGTCTTTCTGCAAGGGTTCTTTTTCTTCAGGTTGGGCAGCCTCAGTCACTGCTGTTTTACTGTACATCTCCTTCATCTGGTTTTTGTCTGAGAGGTTCTCATCCCCACTGATGGAAACTTGAACTTTGGCATCTGAAATAATGGTATCGCTTGATCCTACAGAGAAGGAAAAGAAAATAAACACAACAGGCAAGTAACCCCTGAGTGCCCCCCATCCCCCAAAAAAACAAAATCCAAAACCTCTTTACACATTAGGAAAAAAGCACCTCTTAGGCACCACCACGTAAAAGCTGTGACAGTTATGGTGGGTTTATAACATGAATTGGAAAGCTTTCCATATTTTTGTGTGGACAGCAATGGTTTAAATAAAATACCACTTTAGACAAAATCTGTTCTTTGCTTGCTTGATGTAACAGTAAAAACAGAAGATGTCTAACCAGGTATCTTTTTTAAAGTAGAAAAGTAGATTTGAACAACTCTTTCAAGTTCTTTGGTCTATTCAAAGTTTTTAATCACTTATGAAGCCAATTTTGATATTTCATATAATTCTAGAAAAGCACCTATATTATGTAGATTTTATATATAATACTCATATAATTTTTTAAAATCTCCTGAAGTTAAATCCATTCTTTTAAACTTGTCTAATACTTTCTATTTTCTTTCTATTTTTCTTGGTCATACCTGTTAGAGATTTATCTATCTTATTGGTCTTTTTAAATCATCTCTTTTCTTTTTTATCATAGAAGAAAACTCATCCAAAATATACAAAGAATTAATACATTTCAACAACAAAAAAACCAACAACCCAATTAAAACATGGGCAAAAGATCTGAACAGACATTTCTCCAAAGAAGATATACAGATGGCCAAGAGGCACATGAAAAGATGTTCAACACCATTAACTATGAGGGAAATACAAATCAAAACTACAATGAGATATCACCTCACTTCCCTCAGAATGGCTATAATTAACAAGACAGGAAACAGTAAGTGTTGGAGAGGATGTGGAAAAACAGGAACCCTTGTACACTGCTGGTGAGAGTGCAAACTGATGCAGCCACTACGGAAAACAGTATGGAGTTTCCTCAGAAAATTAAGAATAGATCTACCATATGACCCAGCTATTCCACTGCTGGTTATTTATCCAAAGAGCTTGAAAACATGAATGCATCAAGATACACGCACCTCTATGTTCATCGCAGCATTATTCACAACAGCCAAGACTTGAAAGCAACCTAGGTGTCCATCAAGGGACAAAATGGATAAAGAAGATGTGGTACATATACACAATGGAATACTACTCAGCCATAAGAAAGGATGAAATCTGGCCATTGTGACAACATGGATGGACCTTGAGGGTATTACACTAAGCGAAATAAGTCAGAGGGAGAAAGTCAAATACTGTACGAACTCACTCATAAGTATAAGATAAAAACAACAGCAAACAAACACATAGCAACAGAGATTGGATTGGTGGTCACCAGAGGGGAAGTGGGGAGGGAGGAGGACAAAAGCGGTGATTAGGCACATGGGTGTGATGATAGATTGTAATTACTCTTTGGGTGGTGAACATGATGTAATCTACACAGAATTTGAAATATATTATGATGTACACCTGAAATTTATATAATGTTATAAACCAATGTTACTGCAATAAAATAAATAAATAGAAATAAAAATAAATAAATTTAAAATAAAAAGAAAACTCAAAGTGCAAAATGGTACATTAGTAAATACATTAAAAATCACCAACACAACAAGGATAATGGTCATCAAACAGTTGATGATTATATGTTTTAACAATGGGAAGATAAGGGATTCATTTCCTATCTCTAAGTATGAACATTTTTCAACAAAGAAATTGGAAAGGCAATAGAGATTACTAAAAACCTAACGTAATGAACGCCAGGGTGTCTATCACAGAGCTTAAGAAATAAAACATTACAGATATGATTCCCTGTGTAAAGCCTCAATGATGCCATTCTCTCTTTTCAGTAGCAACCTTTATACTGAACTTAGAGTTTATCAATCTCAAAGATGTTTTTCAGTTTTGTACTATATTACATGTATTAATCAACAATGCACAGAATTGTTTTGCTTGTCTTTAAACTTTACATAAAAGGTATAATACTCTTGTACTTTTAAGCAACATGCCTTATTCATTCAATATTATGATTTGGGGATTTATTCACATTAATATATGTGGGTCTAATTAACCGGTTCTCAATGTTATGTAGTATTCTATTGAATTAATATATGAATTCACCCGTTGATCAACTTTAAGCTATTTTCAACTTTTTAATCGTAAAAAGCATTACAGTGAACATTACCATAAAATTTCTTTGTAGGGAGTTGCACTCTCAGTCTGTGTCTTGTCTTTTAAATATTTATATCTTTTGATGTACAAAAATTTTCATTTTAATAATATCACATTTATTTTCTTTTTCTTTCATGGTGTGTGCTTTGTGTGTCCTGTTTAAGAAATCCTTCATTATCTCACGGTCATAAGGATAGTCATCTAAATTCTAAAAGTCTGAAGTCTTCCACTTACATTAATATGGATTACATTTTTGTTTGGTGTGCAGTAGGAATCTATCTGATGTTATTTTTTCCTACATATATAATCAGTGGCCCAAACACTACTTAATAGTTCATCCCTTCTCCATGGATTGTTAATGCCATCTCTGTCATATATTAAGTTTCCACATAGATGTGTGTGTTTCTGGGTCACCATTCTGTTCCATTTTTCTTTTGTTTATTTTCTGGCAAGTGATGTCTTAAATAAGCTACGTATATAATAAGTCTTAATGTCTACTATGCCAAGTTCCCGTACCTTATTCTTTAAATATACTTCTTGATTTTCCATAAAAATTTTGGAATCAGCCTGTCAAGTTTCACGAAAAATTCTACTAGAATTTTGAGCAGCAATGCACTGAATTCAGAAACTAATTTGATGAGTATTGACATCTTTAATATACTGTTAGTATATCTCTCCAATATTTGGATATTCTTTAATATATTTCAATGAAGCTTTATAATTTTCTCTACAGTAGTCTTGCATGTCCTTTGTTAGATTCATTTCTAAGTATCTATTTTTTGTTTTTTTTTTAAAAAAGTATCTTTTAAAAAATCTTTTTTACTGTGTAGCAGAAAACACGTAAAAAACGATGCAGAAATATAGAGCTCAGTGAGTTGTCAAAAAATGAACATGTACCCAGGTCAAAAAATAAAATCTGGCTAGAAGCCTGTATGCTCCCCTAATTTCTTCCATATGTACAGTTTTAGCCCTATATTAATATTCAGTGTTTTATATGTTATGTAAATAGCAGTCATGAGGTTTAAATCAATATTCAGTGATTATATGTGATTCTGTTATGTTTCTATTATTTACAGTTAAGCCAACTAGTATATTTTGATCACATTTATTTTCTTTTGCAACTTTTTGTTTTTCCTGAAGAGTTACTAATTGCCTTATTTTGGCATTTGCTAAGTTTCTATGTACCAATCCCTACTTCATCCTTACAAATGTAAACAGAAGTGAAAAATCTCTTCTAAATATAGTCAACTACATAACATATTTTACTAATCTGACTCTTTTCTTGCAGCCCTCAGTCTGAACTTGTTCTAGGTCTTCTGTACCACTGTCACAGTGGGACTTCCTTTCCCCCCTCTCCTGTATTGGCCCCCATTTCCTCAATCCTATGTTTTTCTCTTTTAAAGAAAATTTAAATCTACTCTCGTTTTAGTGAAATGATTTTCCCTCAGAATTTCAAGACATTCCTCCTTTGGTTCTAGCGCCCATGTGTTGTTTTTGAAAAGCTTGATGTCAGTCTTGATTTCCATTTCTTTATATGGCACCTGTTTTCTTTTTGGAAGCTTTTAGAATCTCTTTTCTTCCCAGTGCTTTGAAATTTCAAGGTCATGTGCCTTGGTGTGGAGTTTTTATTGTACAGGACAGTTCCTTTTAATACGGAAATTCATATCCTGAAGTTCTGGGATTTATTCCTATACTAGTCCTTTGATTCCTTCTTTTCTACCTTCTCTATTGTCGCTATGGAACACTTGTTTTTTGATGTTGAACTCTGGGGCCAGTCTTGAATTTTCTTATTTTTTTCTTTCTTTTCCCTTCTTTTTATGTTCTATTTTCGAAGAGATTTTATGTTCCAATCCTTCCACTGAGATTTTTATTTCTGACAAATTTTATGGGCTCATTTAGGTATTATGCATGGGTTATTATTCACTTTCCCTAGGTAGGCATCCTCCCCTCTATCCTTCTTAATTCTTTAAGGTGACAGGTTTTGAGGCTGGGCTTCTCCTCAGGGTGAAATGACTACATACAATTAAGCCAGAAGGAGGGCTTTTCTGTAGGATGTGAAATTTGGAAGTAGACCAACAATAACAGTAGACTCCCTTAAGAGATGGAAAATTATGGGGGCCCCGCAGGTAAGAGAGCCTGACTTTATTTCAAACCCATTATAATTAGCAAATGCAGCCCATGGGTGAGTTATAGATGGTGAGTTCTTCGTGCAGACTTCTGATGGAATTCCCTCAGTCTATCACTTTGTTCCCTGCCATTTTTCCATATCCACCCTCTCTTCAAATGTCTGACAGTGGGATCACAGGGATACCTATGTCTACCAAATTGCCACCAGCATATAGTTAGTGGCACGCAGGTAAGGGATTCCCTAGGGCATGAGAGTTTTCATTTTTGAACTACATTTTGCAAAAATATTTTCCTTTTTATTTATTTGGCAGCCTCAATATTAGCTGGCAGATGTGCTTCTTTTCTCTCATTTCAAAAGACATTCATAAGCAGACTTCAAAACGCTTTTCAGTGCACCAAAGTTATCTGGAAGAATAAATATGTGTGGCCTTTCATACATTTTCCTCATAAAGGCATTAATGCTATCACATGAAGTAATTAACCCTATGCCAAACTGGAACATAGAGCCACCCTATGTTTGAAAACTGCCGTGGGTTCAGTAGCACCTATTTGGCTAATTGCTATGCACAGGAATAAAAAACTGTAAATGCAACAACATAGGCAATTATACATGTAGAATTTTCAGTGGCTACTGGTGTTTTCATTTAATAAATACTATCATGTATCATCTAAAGAAGTACAATGTCAGGGATGCAGAGGAAAAAAATCAAGCAGATCCCTAAATATTAAAAACTTTTATAAAACAGTGGGGCCTATACCTGGCGATAAGATTGAAAACTTGAATACCTAGAGTGATCAGACAGATAAGGTGAATGGATGACGCAGATTGGGTCTGAGAGTTGTAGGGAGTGAAGCAAACAGGAGAAGGTATGTCCTCTTTGCAGGGGACAGTTATGCCTCAGGGGCCGCTAATTACTGCTATGGAGGAATGCAAGCTGAGTGCAACCAGATATTCTGATTTTTCAAGGAAAGTCTAAAATCTTATTTGGGCAGCAAAATAACCTTTAAAACACTGTATGAGCCATATACCTTCTTGAAGAATCCAAACTATGAGATATTAGTTTGTACCATCTGACAGATAAATTCATGAGGTAATTGAATCAAGATTTTCTATGGATTTTAGTCTCTAAAACATATGTGATTGGCTATTATTTCATTTCAAAAGTTGCAATATATTTTATTTCCCATAGTGAAAATAAAGTTTACAGTTTTCAAAATCTGTAATATTTTAAGAGATTTTATAAATATTTTACCTTCTTGTACACACCCAATAAAATAGCTAGGAGAAAAGCCTGAATAACAAAGCAGAAAAAAGATAAAGACTGGACAATATTCTCATTTTGGATGAACAGAAAAAAAAGCTACAAATTACACAAACCCAATCCAGTTACCTGCATTATCTTTCTGAAAGGGTTTCTTCCCCACTGACAAGGATGCCTTAGCCACCGCCCTCTTACTGTAGATCCCCTCTTTATGTTTAATGTTAACAGATGCCACGTCATCATCCCTCGTGCCTAGCACTTGAGCCGGGAAGTCTGGAGCAATGGCATCATTGGATCCTACAGAAAAATGGGAAAGCAGTACAATTAACACAAATATAGACACGAAGTTGAAGAAAGAAAAAAAATTTACCTCTTAAGCCACTTCTATAAAAAAAGGCACTACAATGCGAGTGTTGTAGGGTAATTAGATGTCAAACTGAAGCTGTCAGACATGTAAGATAAGATGGAGAAGCAAACGATATAAGAGAAGACAAAGTAGAATATCAGTTCAGAAGGAAGACAATTTCAAGATTTTCAGAGGAAGGAAAAAATAGAGTGTACCTTGGACAATACTTAGGTAGGCTTTGCGAAATATAAGAAGGGCATTTTAGGCAGAGGTTACAGCATTAGCAAAGACAAGGAGGCAGGAAAGCAAAGAGTATATAAGAACAGCAGACACTTCTGTGGTCAGGCTGGATTACAGAACACATTAAAAAAGTAGTAGGAGATATTAAAAAATAATTCTTTGGGACAAAATTCAGCAGGGCATGGAATCACAAGCTAAGGACTATAAATTTTACTGTACATGTAATGCAACATCATTAAAGATTTTTTAATAAAGGGAAAACATAATCAGCTGTTTTAGGAAAACCAATCTGATGATAATACAAGGGACAAAACATTGAAAGGAAAGTCTTACATAATAAAGAAATACAAGATTTGGAAGTAATTTTATTTTCTTTTAAAATATATTTAAATACTCCTATATCCACTGATAACAGAAGTTTATTTAAGCTACATATAAGAAGCAAAAGAACATCTCTGGACATATAAGAGTTTGTAGTAACTACAGAATTATCTTCTACAAAAATGTTTTTTCTTTCTAATCTGGGATTCTGTACTTCATGAATTTTCTGAGCATCTAAAATGCATATGGCAATCAGAGCTGGGAAAGTATCAGTCTCATCAGTGCTGTGCAAATATAAATAATAAGCCATGAAGGACTTTTCAGAACAGACTGCCAGGATCCTACTAAGCCTTCTGGGTCCTATTACAGATTATATTGGGCTCTTCTCAGATTCTGTGGTACTCCTTTCTTTTTTTTGCTCCCTACCTCTCTGGCAAATCCTTAGCATCCTTTCTTTTATCAAATCTCTCAATGCTGGAGTTCCTCAAGGGGTCAGAACTAGGCTCTCTTCTCTTCCTGGGTGAATTCATTGATTATCAATTTATGGAACACTATCTATACGCCGAGGACTAACAAATACATATCGCTAGCTGGGACCTTTCTTCTCAGCTTCAGATTCTAGCATTCAGGTCACAGGTAGTCCTTACAGCATTTTTTGAAGAAATGAGAAAAAGATGTCCCTTCTTCAATTAAAAGAAATTTAAGTTGGGCCAGCCAGAGTGGCCCAGTGGTTGAGTTTGCCATGCTCTGCTTTGGCTGCCCAGATTCTGTTCCTGGGTGCAGACCTACACCACTCGTCTATCAGTGGCCACGCTGTGGTGGCAGCCCACAAAGAAAATGGAGAAAGACTGGCAACAGATGTTAGCTCAGGGTGAATCTTCCTCAGCAAAGAAAACAAAAGAAATTGAAGTTATTATATGTTATGGTACAACACAAACAACTGTACATGGGAGTTATTCTCCTCACAAATACTTCCAGATACCAGGAAGACACACACCACCAGCAGCATGCACATGCACACTCTTTGCCACCATCCTTCGTTCTCCAAGAGAGGTAACCATGTCAGGTTCAGAGTGAGGTGGGAAACCATAATTAAGTCCCTCAGAGAGGTGGGTGGATGAGCAAGAGAACTGACCTCAGTGAAGCTGAGAGGCAGTTGAAAAAGAGTGAAGCCACACGCATGTGTGTATGCCAGTGAGTGTATGTGTACTTATTTTCCTGTATCTGTGCATAGCTGTAGGGTTTGTAAGTGTGGATTTATGTTTGGAGCAGCAAGAGAGTTAACATTATTGCTTCAGAACTCTATTTGGAGATCTGGAACCTTCATGCCCACCTGTGTGCTTTCATAAAAAACAGCATATGTTTATGAGGCAAATAGTGCGACCTCTATGTGGTGCCCTTGCGTATAACCTTGATATTTATAAACTGACTCTGTCTACATTCAGTTACAGATTTAACATCTCTACATGGATGTGGAACAGGAATCTCATTTTTAACATGTCCAAAGCAGATATTTCAATCATCTTCCCCAAATCTGCTTCATCCTCAGACTTCTCCATCTCAGTAAATGGCACCTCTGTTCACCCAGTTGCTTACTCTAGAAAACCAGAAATCATTTTTTTCGCCCCCTTCTCTCTCACTCTCCATATTCTATCACCAAGTCCAGGAGCAACTATTTCTTAAAAATAAGTTGACTGTGTCCATTTCTCTCCATCTCTATTACCATCACTCTAATCCTAGGTGCTGTCATCTCTGGTACCGACTACTGTCAATAGCCTTCTAACTAACTGGTGTGCCCCCATCTACTTCTTGACCCTCTCCATCTTGGCTCCCTATCTTCCCATCTACAAGACATTCTTGATATAGCAGCCAGAATAAATTTACAAATGTAAATCAAACCAGTTGTCTTCTAGAATAAAACTTAAATGCTTTAATATGGTTTACAAGACCGTGCATGATCTTGGACTTACCTATCTTTGACCATATCTAGCCACCACTCTGCTCTACCCACATTGCCTTCTTCTCATTTGTCAAATGCATCAAACTCTTTCTTGCTTCAGGAGCTTTGCTCATACTGCTCCCTCTGGCCAGAACACTTTCATTCTCCACTGTTTGCCTGCCTATCCTCTAGATCTCACCTCAAAAGTTTCTTCCTTGGAAAGGCCTTCAAGAGCTCCTAAAACTAAATAGGTTCCTCTTACTATTCTCTTAAAATTTTTCTTTATTTTCTTGGCAAACCATTTGGAATTATGTACTTATTTGTGGTCTATTTGTTTAATATCTGTCTCCCCACTTGAACAGACACTTCATGATTGTAGGGGCCATGTTTATTGTGCATACCCCGCAAATGTAGCACTTAGCAAAGTATCTTCCAGGAACACAGTAAGAGCTTTAATACTTTTTGGTCGAAGAAACAAAAGTAGAGACATATTTTAAATGTAATAGAGACTTCAAAATCAGCATATAAGGTGAGAAATCGTGCAGGGTCAAAATCACCCTTGAAGGTTCTTCTTAGGAAGGCACCATGTTGAAACTGACATCCTGTCTGCTCAACAAATCCACCAGAGTTCACTTTTTCCTCCTGGCTTGCAACAAATCACCATGCCAGCATCTGAGCACCTGAAGAAGTATCTGGCTTGTGTTTAGAAGCCATGTTGAACCAAAAAGACACTTTAAACTCTAGAATCACACTCAGGGAAGCGAAATAAGATACTTAAACTACAAAAGGCAAACAAGGACAATGAACTTTGAGAATGGAGATTTTCCACTTCCTGTTTCAAATTCCCTCATGGTAATATGCTGATAGAGTGTAGAGTGCACAAAAACATGTGCATTTTTAAAACTGTTTCTCTCCTCCTCTTTTGTCAAATATACGTAATTGAACTTGCTTAAGTTAAATGCATGTATGAGACCATGCCAACGTATGCTAAAATTATGTATCACAGCTAAAGACATTTCACTGTAACTCATTCATCTGAATTGTTTATGCTATCAAAGTTTCTTGTTTCCAGTTCTTGTTCTATATTATTTTGCTAATTTTGTATACTCAACAGTAATTTGGAAAATAGATATCTTAGTTTTAAAATTCTATTACAGTTCTTTTGGTAACTTTTTTTTTAGTATTTTTCATTATGGTAAAATATAAATAAAATTTACCATTTTAACCATTTTTAAATGTAGTTTAGTAACATTATGTATATTCGCATTGTTGTGCAACCATCACACCATCCATCTCCAGAATTTATTCATTTTCTCAAAGTGAAATTCTGTACCTATTAAACAATAAGTGCCTTTTCCTCCTACCCCCAACTCTTGGTAACCACCATTCTACTTCGTCTGTGGAGATGACTTATCTAAGTACCTCAGATAAGTGGACTCTTACAACATTTGTCCTTTTATAACTGCCTTATTTCACTTAGCATAATGTATTCAGAGTTCATCCACAGTGTAGAACGTGTCAGAATTTCACTCCTTTTTAAGGCTGAATAATATTCCATTGTAAGTATATATCACATTTTATTTATCTATTCATCAGCTGACAGACATTTGGGTTGTTTTCCCCTATTGGCTATTGTAAAGAATGTTGCTTTTATAAACATGGGTGCACAAACATCTGTTCCAATCACTGCTTTCAATTCTTTTGAACATATTACTCAGAAGTGGAATTGCTGGATCATACAATAATTCTATATTTAATTTTTTGAGGAATCTCTATATTGTTTTCCATAGTGACCGCACCATTTTACGTTCCCACCAGCAATACACAAAGGTTCCAATTTCTCCATATCCCTGCCAACCCTTGTTATTTTCTGTTTGATAAGAGCCATCCGAATGGGTATGAGGTGGTACTCCTGGTGGTTTTGAATTGCATTTCCTTCATAACTAATGACGTAGAAGATTTTTTCATGTTCTGTATATCTTTCTTGGAGAAATGTCGATTCAGATCTTGTGTCCTTTTAAAAATTAGATTGCTTTGTTGTCGTTGTTGAGTTATAAGAGTTCTTCATATATTCTGGATATTAATCCCTTATCAGATACATGGTTTGCAAGTGTTTTCTCCAATTCTGTGATTTAGGTTTTGTAGGGCCGTAGCCTACGTGCCCTATAGCAACCACATGCCCTTCTGGCCCCCTTCTGGGCAGGATGCCAACCATCTGTGATTTGCAACAATCCAGGACCTGGCCAACCCAATCTTAACTTATCTCACTGAAAGAACATCACGTCTTGAAAGAACATAGAGTGCTTCCACATGAGCTACTGTTCCTGGGAACACTGGTCGTACCAAGGACAGTCCCTTTTGGCAAGCATGTGGTCTTTATTCCCCACCTATATGAACAACCTCCTTTCTGCCAGCGGTAGCAGGTACACAACGGCATCCAGCCAGCTGCTC